AAGAAGAAGAAGAAGAAGAAGAAGAAGAAGAAGAAGAAGAAGAAGAAGAAGAAGAAGAAGAAGAAGAAGAAGAAGCAGAAGCAGAAGCAGAAGCAGAAGCAGAAGCAGAAGAAGCAGAAGAAGCAGAAGAAGCAGAAGAAGAAGAGAGGAAAGAACATGCTGCAGGTCACACGGGAGGTAACAATAGACCCTGCTTCTGACCCCAAGGCTCTGAGCGCTGTGCACACTGCTTGGCCCACTATAGACAACAGTGACACTTGCTAACAAAGACTTACTCAGTATCGTGAGCCCTGGAAGCTTCGTCTGAGCCATCTGCAGACCCTACAGAGTGAGGAAGTAAAGGACAGGGGGCCAGGATGAGGAAAGATTGCTCAGTGGGTATAAAGCTGCACTCCAGACAGCATCGTCAGGAGTCCTGGCTGTGCAGGGAGCCGATACGGACAACAATTGAACACTGCGTATCTCAAAATCTACAGAAGGGACTAAATGTTTTCACTGCAAAGAAATGAGGATTTTCTGAGGACAGAGGCAGGTTTAACCTGATTACAAAAGCACTCGGGGAACCAAACATCGCCAGCAGCCATTAAAATGCACGAGATTGTGCTTTACGTATCAGTTAAAACAATAAATTAACAAACTGAAAACATCCGTGAAGTCAACGGAGAAAGAGGAAGGAAGGAAGGAAGGAAAGAAGGAAGAAAGGAAGGAAGGAAGGAAGGAAGGAAGGGAGGGAGGGAGGAAGAAAAAGGGAGCGGAGAGAGAGGGAAAAAGAAGAGAAGAGAGCGAGAGGAGACGGAGACGAAGAAAAGATGAAGAAGGGGAAGGGGAAGAGGGGGAAAGAGAGCAACCATAATATCATCAAGAGCAAACACTGCCTGAGCCCCCACGTCAGCAACACTGAAACCACTCAAATCAGACCACTTAAGGTCAGTGAATGGATTACTCCCATGGACCATGCAATTCTCCCCTCTTCCTATCCCAGTATCCTCTTAGGGCTCCCACCTTTGGAAAGGCACCCTACTTTTTGGTCTCACCTGATTTCCCGGTGCCACAGGGCCCCGGAATCTGTACTCCAGCCTGCTGAGACAGACAGACATTACAGGGAGTACAAAGAACAGCCTCCTCAACCCCACAACCCTCTGCTGACCCTCCACCCGCAGGTCACCGGCCCTTGTACCTGATCTGGGTCTTCCACTCCAGCAACCAGGTTCTGGTCCCCCTTGCTGCTGCAGACAGGCCGTGGAACGACCTTCTCCATGCCCTTCCAGAACCAGGTCAGCACCCAGAAGCTGGGGCTGCCAAGGGATAGAGACACCACCAGTATCAATTCCCACACCATCCGAGTGGCAGTACATATATCCCAAAGGACTTAACATTAATTAATCTACTATCCCCATATGGTGAGTCTTTCAAACCTCCCTTCCTCTCTGGAAAGCACAGGGTACCCTCCAGTCCCTAGCCAAGGAGGTGAGGGAGGCTTTTGGAGCCTGCCCTCCAATTGCTCCAAACAGCACAGCCTCTCTCTATACCCCAGTTAGCTTACTGCTGCCAGCATCCTCACATCTGGTCCTCTCTCTGGAGGCAGAGGCTGAGGCTAATCTGGTCATGTGAGGATCCCGAGTCACTGCCTTTCGTTAGCCCCAGCCCAATATGTGTTTTGCTGGACAAACTCTCTGGACTAAAATGGCTAAGCGTCAAGAACGTGGGCTTCACTGGGAAATCGGCAGCTCCAGCAGTTGCCTGAAGTCACCCCAGCACTGAAACCATTCTGGCCCCCCAATATTATTGTGGCCTTCCCTCTCTTGCCCACCATCCCTATTGTGCTCAGAGCACCCCCAGCTTCCATGAAAGCTCCCGCAACCATTCCCTGATGCTGTGGGCCTCTACTGAATGGCCAGGGACCCTTGCATGCCAGTGGCTCCCTGTAGGGGCAGTTGGGAGGGGAGAGGGTGATATGGTACCTGTTCACCTTGACAACAGCCACCTGGGCCTGAGGGGTAGACTGAGGAAGGTCAGTTTCCTGGGCCTCTGGCAAAAAAAAGAATGTCCCATATTTCAAATGTGGACCCGAGAGAGGCCTATTTCTTCCTTGCTGGGGAGATCAAGTCAGAGGCAGGGCAGAAAGAGGCCACAAAGGAATTAGAGCTGAAAAGCCCCCAGGAGCCCACTCCAAGGTTTCCCGAGCCTTCACTCCATCATATGTGAAGTGAGCTGCTGCTAGGCTCTGAGAGGAAACCCCAACCCGCCTCATCCAGCCAGCCTGGGTCCCAGCACTCACCTTGAAGGCTAGGGCCAGCCTCAGCCACACCTTCCCCTTCCATTGGCTCCTCAGGCGGCTGTGGGGTTCAAACAGGACCTGTAAGCCTGGATGAGGCCACCTGGTGCAGAGAGCAGAGCCTCTGGTTCTCCCCAGGGACCTGCCGCCCCCAAAGTTGAATGACTCATTTCAGGATCATCTCTGTAAGTCTTGCTGGCCTCACCCCCCACCCAGGACCCTTCCTTCCTCACACCCAGGGGCTCAGCACCCAGGCTGGGGCCTCATCTCCCAGCCCTATATCCCCCACTCATGGCCTGAGAAGAGGGAGGAGCCATAGGACAGTCTTGGAGAACAGGGGTCAGGTGTGCTCCCCAGTCAGGCCTCTTCCTCCCAGTGCCCAAACTTTCCTTCTTGCCTCTGCTATTCACCTCCCTCCTGTTCCTGCAGCCTCCTCTACTCCTGCACACCGTGTGCAGCTATAGACAGTCATGCATGGGCATCCATGCAGACAGCCACAGCTGTATACCCATACCTGAGCCTGGAGGACAGTGGGCAGCAAAGAGACACACTTCTGGGCCTCTGGAAAAGAGTCCCATACTTCATATCCGGTCTCCCAAGAGGCCCATTCCTCCCTAAAATCACACTTATGTTTATGCACACATAGACATGATCATGCATATCACACTGTTGTGCATATAACAGTGATATATATCTGCACACAGATACAAAACAAGTGTATCCATACAAATACACTTGTAGCTACCTACATATAGACAAGTCAGCAATACAACTATATTCATATACACATGCATACACACTTGTACATAGACATGTCAGAGTACATACACATAAACATATGCACATGAAGATACATTTGCATGTGTATAAATACAGAAATTTGCATATACACATACCTGTATATGCTCAATCACATAAATAGGCATTTGTACAATTGTGGAAGCATGTGTATATATATATACATATACAAATATACACACATCATAAAATATGTTTGTATACATGGATGTGCAAATGTAAGAACAGACACGTGCCAGGTGGTGGAGGCGCACGCCTTTAATTCCAGCGCTGGGGGGGGGGCAGAGACAGGTGGATATCTGTGAGTTCAAGGCCAGCCTGGTCTACAGAGGGAGTTCCAGGACAGGCTTCAAAGCTACAGAGAAACTCTGTCTCAAAAAAACAAAAAAGAAAAAGAAACAAAAACAAAGAATAGACACAGACATGTATATGCACAAACACATAAGCTCAAACTCAGAAATATGCACATACACATGGAATCGTGTGCACAGAAAAAAACAAGCATGAATATGCATACAAATATACACACATAGACTTGCAGATCCAAATCTGAAATACCCATGTGTGCTCACAGTATACCATCATGAATATACCATAAGCACATATACATGTACACACATACACACTCTATAACCAGTTCCTAAACACACTCTGCACTTGCCCACGGACAACCTTTCTTCTTCCAGAAATACCTTGCCTCAGCATCTCCCCAGTTAAAACTCCCCCACCAGTCTCTGTGTCTAAACAATGCTCCAGCAGCCTCCAATTTTGGAGGTTAAATGACCGTTGTCTATGAGTTCCCGTAAACTCTAAGAGCAGTGCTGGAGCTCGCTCCCTTACTAGCCCTTTCTCCAGGTAGGAGATGATGGGCATCTGTCTACAGACTCCCAGGGACATTGCCTGATTGATTCTTTATGCCTTCTGCTCTAAGCACAGGATCTCACATCAATTAGAAGCTAAATGAAATCTGCTTAATTAAGCTGCTGAATTAATTGTCATCAGGCCCCTGAAGGGTTAAGATGCCGAACTGGTAAGCTTTTGATATGCTTGAAGGAACATGCTAGAAAAATGTTCCTCAGTATGTGGTATATGGACCAGTGCTGGTGCAAACTGCTAACTGGTCCATGGTGGTTGAGTAAAGGTACTTGCTGTCCGATCTGAGGACACGTCCCACACAAGAGTTGCCCTCTGACGATGCACGTAAATGGAATAAATTTTTAAAAATCGACCAGGCAGTGGTGGCACCCACCTTTAATCCCGGCACTCAGGAGGCATAGGCAGGCAGATCTCTGTGAACTTGAGGCCAGTCTGGTCTACAAGAGCTAGTTCCAGGATAGCCTGGGCTACACATTTAAACCCTGTCTTGAAAAAAAAAATTTTTTTTTTAAAATCTGTGTGAAGTACCAAAGTGTATGTACTCAGTGGAACACTAATCTTGTTTATAATTAGTGAGTTGGTTGGTTTGTTAGTTAGTTATTGGTTTTTCGAGACAAGGTTTCTCTGTGTAGACCAGGCTGGCCTAGAACTCAGAGAACTGCCTCGCTCTGCCTCCCAAGTACTGGGATTAATGGTATGGGCCACCACTGCTCAGCTCTTTTATCTTTTTAATCATTAATTTTTAAAAAATATTTATTTATTTATTATGTATACAATAGTCTGTCTGCATGTACGCCTGAAGGCCAGAAGAGGGCACCAGACCCCATTACAGATGGTTGTGAGCCACCATGTGGTTGCTGAGAATTGAACTCAGGACCTTTGGAAAAACAGGCAATGCTCTTAACCTCTGAGCCTTCTCTCTAGCCCCCTAGTCATTTATTTTTTAAGATAATATAATTACTACACTTCTCCCTTCTCTTTCCTCCCTTTAAACTCTCCCATAAACCCTTTCTTTCTCTTTTTCAAATCCATGGCCTCTGTATTTGTTAATTGTTGTTATATGCATATTGTGTATACATATATATTTCTAAATACATAAATGCAACCTGCTCAGTCTATAAATGTTACTTGTATGTATGTTTTCAGGGCTGGTCATTTGGTATTGGATACACAATTGATGTTCTTCCCTGGGGGAGACTATGTTTCCTCCTTTCAGAATTCCTTAGTTACCTATAGTTCTTGTGTTGGATTAAAGCCTCCCACCCCTGCCTACTTTAGTGTATCCATTGCTGTTATCCTTGGAACACTAATGTTAAAAGATACTTGGAAAATAAAATACTGTTTAAGAGGCCAGAGAGATATCTCAGTGGTTAAGAATACTTGCTGCTTGCAGAGGACTCATGTTCCCAGCACCCTGTTAGGCAGTCACTACTATCCTCAAGGAATCTGATGCCCTCTTCTGGCCTCTGTGGTCACTGCACTCATGAGAGCAGACGCACGCATAAACACACACACTCACACACAAAGTTATATATATAATATTTAAAACAAATCTTTAAAAATGCTGTTTTAAAAAACCTATATTAATTTCCTATTTCCTAAACTGAGAAAGTCTTCCTACAAAATAAATACCAGCTGAAGGAAGTGATGCGATCCTATTCTAGAGCTCTTTCTGGATCTCCTTAGGAACTGGTAATAAACAGACCAGAGTCTGGAGGGTCTCATTCTGCTCCAAACTCCAGAGACAAACACAGCCACAGGACATTTATAGCCTATTGCTTGTTTTCGTAAATAGAGAGTGTATATGTATATGATGCATGTACCATGTATGTCTTTGGAAGACAACTTTGGGTGTCAGTCCTTGCCTTCTGCCTTGCTTTGAGACAGGGTCTTTTCATGGCCTTTTTGATGTGTTAGCCAGGTTAGCGGGGACATGGGCCTCTGGGGATTCTCCAGCTCTCTGGGGAAGTGCTGGGACAACATATGTTCATGCAATTGCACCCAGATATCACCTAGGTTCTGGGGATTTGAACTCAGGTCCTCATGTTTGTATGGTAAACGCTTTTGCCCTCTGAGCCGTTTCTCCAGTCTCATAAATAAAGTTTGTCAGCAGACAGTCATGCCTGTGTCGATAAAGTGAGTTCCAGGATAGCCAGGGCTACACAGAGAGTCCTTGTCTCAAAAACCAACAACTAACTAACTAACTAATTAACTAAGAGCACTGACTGATCTTCTAGAGGACCCAGATTCAATTTCCAGCACCCACATTGGCAGCTCACAACTTGTTACCCGTTCTGCCCAGCTGTGCTCCTACGGTAGCTGGCGTGGTTGAGCTACTAAGACACGGCATGGCCCACACAGCCTGTTTCACCTTTCACAGAAACAGCCGTGAGCAAACTTATCCACTCTCTGGGCCTGAGTGGCCACACTGAGATGTGCGCTGAGCCAGTGCCCACGTGTCCTGCTGGCTCCCGCTTTCTTTCTTGAGCAGCCACGGGGATCAGGTAGCCCAGGCTGTGAGTCCCTGAGCGGCAAAACCAGCCTGTCCTTGCCCCCTCTCCCCTCACCAGGGTCTGGTCCTCTGGCACATCCTCTTCGGGGGCTGGTTCAGGTTCTGGCTCTGGTTCCGGCTCCAGTGGAGGCTCTGGTTCAGGTTCTGGCTTTGCCTCAGGCTCCAACTCTGGTTCTGGCTCTGGTTCTGTGTCCTCCTCAGTCTTCTGAGGGGTCTCTGGAGGCTGAGGCAGCACCTTCTGGACCCAGCTCAGCATCCTGATGCCTGTAATGGAGAGAGTCTTTAGCTGCAGCGAATGCTCCCCATCCACGGCCACTTTGTGGGTCACATATGCCCTTTACCACAGCCTATCTTTAAAAATATTTCTGCAGGGGGCTGGAGAGATGGCTCAGTGGTTAAGAGCATTGACTCTTCTTCCAGAGGACCTGAGTTCGATTCCCAGCAACCACATGGTTGCTCACAACCATCTGTAATGAGATCTAGCGCCCTCTTCTGGCCTGCAGGCATACATGGACGCAGAATGTTATACACATAACAAATAAAATAAATCTTAAAAGAAAAATATTTCTGCAGTAGGGCTGGAGAGATGGCGTCATGGTTGAGAGCACTTTCTACTCTTCCAGAGGACCCACATTTAGTTCCCAGCATCCACAGCAGGCAGCTCACAGACACCTGTAACCCCAGGACACCTGTAACACCTGTAACACCTGTTACGGGAGATCCAATATCTTCTTCTGGCCTCTGTGAGCATCCACACATAGATGAAATATGTGCACAGACACATTAAAAATAAATCTTTAAAAGAGTTTCTGCATTTATGAGCAGCCCCTTTTCCACCCCAGCCCCAGAAATGCTTATCTGCTTCCTGGCCCTGCAGTCTGAATTCCAGAATATAGAATTCTGGATATAGAGATCCCAGAATTTCTATATCATAATGTGGCCTTTGAGCATGATTTCTTTCACTTGACATACACATCTGAGATTCTTCTGTGTCAGTGTTACTGTCACGAATTCATTTATTTCTATTATGGAGTAGTATTCTATGGTATGGATTTTGCACACTTTGCTTATCCATTTCCAAGCTGCGGGAATAATGGCTCAAATAAAGCAATCAAAAATTTAAAATATTTCTGCAGTGTTATCAGAGGCTAGTTGTTAGAAAGAATCTGAATGTTCATCATGTGAGCCTGCATTAAGTAGTAATGCCGCCGATAACGGAGATGTGGAAACGCTGGAAGGGAAGAAGCACATTCGTTTGAACAGAAGATGTACATGCTCTCACATTGTCATGAGCAGATCAGTTCGACTCCTTTCGCCTCTGTGTGCCTGTCTGTAAAGTGGGGGCACTGCAGCCAGGCATAGTGGTACCCACTTAGACTCCAGCACTTGAGCTGGGAAGGCAGAAGGATCAGCAGTTCAAGGTCAGCATGAACAAAAAGCAAGTGACCTTGATAGTCCCTACCTTGTGAGCAGAGTGTGAGAATAAAATCCATTAAGAGAAGCCAGGCATGGTGGTGCACACTTTTAATCCCAGCACTCAGGAGGCAGAGGCAGGCAAATCTGTGAGTTCGAGGCCAGCCTTGTCTAAGAGTGAGTTCCAGGACAGCCAAGACTACATAGAGAAACCCTGTTTCGAAAAACTAACAAACTGATGTTCTAGGAAATTATTTTAAGCTGTGTTACTTTTGTTTCTGCTGTGGAACATTTGTTTTAAAGATGCAAAGATGTGTTGCATTCTTTCCTGTTGCTTTTGTTTAACTCTGTGACATTGTGATTCTTTGCCTGTCTAAAACACCTGATGAGCTAATAAAGAGCTGAACAGTCAATAGCAAGGCAGGAGAAAGGATAGGCAGGGCTGGCAGGCAGAGAGAAGAGATAGGAGAACTATGGAAGGAGCAAGGTAGAACAAAGTGAGGACATCAGGGGCCAGCCACCCAGCTACACAGCAAGCCCGAGAAAGAAGTACAGTGACATATACAGGAATAGAGAAAGATAAAAGCCCAGAGGCAAAAGATAGATGGGATAATTTAATACAAGAAAAGCTCACAAGAGACAAGTCAAGCTAAGGCCAGGCATTTCTAATAATACTAAGTCTCTGTGTGACTTATTTGGGAGCTGGGTGGCTGCTCCCCCCCACCCCGCCCCGCCGCAAAAAGCCAAAGATCCATAAAAGTAAAGAGTAATAAAACAACAAACTGCAAGTTGATAAAAGCAACATTCTTAGACCAGTGACTGAGCCCCCTTAATTTTGAGTTATTTGCTCAGATGTCAGCTGCTAGCCAGTGCCTGGCCCATGTCAAGGCCTCACTCATAAAGGTTGGTCATACAAATACTGAGTGCAAACACAGACTGTGGAAGATCACGTGCCGCAGAAGCCCATGACGGAAAAGAAACACTGGGAGTTTATGAGCACAAAGTCCGTTGTCGAAGATAACATTAGCCACGTGCTTTAATCCCAGCACTCAAGAGGCCGAGGCAGGCGGACTCCTGAGAATTTAAAGCCAGTTTGAACTACATAGTAAGTTTCAGGTCAGCCAGAGCTACACAGTGAGACCCTGGCTCAAAAATAAATAAAAAAGGGACTGGGGAGACGGCTCAGTGGTTAACTAACTGCTCTTCCAGAGGACTGGGGTTCAATTCCCAGCACCCACATTGACAGCTCACAACTGTCTGTAACTCCAGTTTCAGGCAATCTGGCTCCTTCACACCAATGCACATAAAATGAAATTAGATAAATTATAAAAATAACAATACTTGTCACTGTAGTGGCACATGCCTTTAATCCCAGCACTCAGGAGGCAGAGGCAGACAGATCGCTGTGAGTTCGAGGCCAGCCTGGTCTACAGAGTGAGTTCCAGGACAGCCAAGGCTACACAGAAAAATCCTGTCTTGAAAAACAAAAACAAGGGGCTAGAGAGATGGCTCAGTGGTTAAGGGCACAACTGTTCTTCCAGAGGACCCCGGGGTTCAATTTCCAGCACCCACATGGCAGTTCACAACTGTCTAAAGATCCAGTTGCAGGGAATCTGACACCTTCACACCAATGCACATAAAATAAAGTTAAATAAACCATAAAAATATTTTTAAAATAACAAAAACAAAAACAAACAAAAAATTTTAAAATTGCTGGGCAGTGGTGGCACATGCCTTTAATCCTAGCACTTGGGAGGCAGAGGCAGGCAGACCTCTGTGAGTTCAAGGCCAGCCTGGTCTACAAGAGCTAGTTCCAGGACAGGCTCCAAAGCTACAGAGAAACCTTATCTCAAAAAAACAAAAAACAAAAAACAAAAACAAACAAACAAACAAACAAAAAAACTCAACAAAACTCAACTTATCACTTTTTTAACTTTGAAGATAAAATGCCAGTTGGACCTCCTGTCACGGTTAATAAATGACGTTTCAACCAGTTTCGAGCTCATTGATATTAAGCAAATGGAGAGCCGAGTTCTGTGACACCGAATTCTCACAGGACGGCTCCATGGTACCATCCAGGCTGCCACGTAGACAGGCCCATGAAAGGCCACCCAGGACACAGGCCTACCCAAGATTTACCACCCTCCTGTCTCTGCCAGGACCCTTGAAAAAAGTAGCCCCATGGCTAGGGATCCCTGCCCCAGTACCAGCTTCCCAGAGCCCATTGCCAGGCTCCTTGACCTCTGTCCCAGCTCTGGCTCAGCTTCTCCTAGGGCAGCCCCTAGGGACAGAGCTTCAGCTGCAGAGTCAGCTCAGCTTACGGTAAAGTGATGGGGACCGGATCCAACCCCTGGATTCTAGTTTTCTGCTGGCTCGAGGATGTGGACACAGCGACTTTCTCTCAAAGTCACCTGTTTGGGATGGTAGAAAGCACAGACCCTAGCCAACTATTAGCAGCCCAGACCTGAGGAAAGCGCTCCTCAACGCCTGGCTCCCATGCCCCTCTGACAACACTCATTCTTCCGACCATCTTGCCCTCCCCTACTCCCTGTAAGGGGGATAGCCATCCTCAGACCAATAAAATTGTCTAAGGTTGACTCGGGTCAAGATGCGTTTACTCTCAAATCTGTGCTTGGACCCTGACTGCCTTCTTTTGTCCTCTGTTGCAGGACCAGAGGGCAACAATCCTGGCTTGCTTTTCTGAACTGTCTGGAAATTACTCAGGAAGAGGCCACCTAGGCCAGTTTTCTGGATGGCTGCCCTCCAACTTTAAAAAGCAAGGCTGAGGCAGGAAGATGACCTAGGGGTAGCCACCCAGTGAACTGTAGTGTTGAACCGCCAGCATTCTGAGAATCTTCTGAGGAGCTAGAGAAAACACAGATTCCTAGGCTCCCATCAAACCCTAGTGGGGCATTGTCTACACTTCTCAGGCTGCCCTGAAGCTACCAAAGTCTAAGACACGGGAGGCGGGAGGCAGCACCACAGCTCTCCCGTCAGGTCCTACTTCTTCTTAATGCCCTGCTAGAAGCTGAGCATGGGGACCCCCTCACCGAGGAGCCCTACTGAGCCCCCACTTCATTCTGAGTTACCTGTTCAGATGTCAGCTGCTGGCAGGTTTTGCAGTCTCAGTGCCCCTGAAACGGGCCCCTCAGACACAGCCAGGATTAATTGGCTCTACATGGGCCAAGTGCAAAGGATTAGCATGTGCAGAAAGGGGGGGCAGGGCTCGTGCCAGGGGAGCCAGCAACAACCCCCAAGTGTGTCCAACAGGGTTTGGGGCCCTATAAATTGCTAGGGCACCTGTCCCAGTGCTGGGGCCAGACTTCCCACACACTGACATAACCAGAGAGAGGCTGTGAAACCAGGAATAGCCTGGATGTCTGTGTGGTTCTGGGGGACTCCTCAAGGTGACAGGAGCCCATCGGCTCAGCCAGGGGGACAGGAGTGTGTCCTTACTCTCCAGCACCAACATTGGACCTGAGCAGGCTCTCTGCAGCAGAGTCTTTAACTACTGGAGCTTTAACACAAGAACCAGGACAAGACCTTTAGCCAAATTCTGTACTTAGCAGCATTTCCAGAGAAACAGAACCAAGACAGTATGAAGTCTCAGGACCAGAAGGCCTAGGATATGTCCCAGTTAGACATCTCTAGCCTCGGAGTCCCTGGAGGGTAGCGAGTGCAAGATACAGCATCCAAGGTGGCCAGAGGATACAGAGTCTGAGCTCCAAGGCCAGCAGCAGCAGGAAGAACCACACCCAACTAAGGAAGAAGAATCAGAGACAGTTTCTCCTCTTTCCTCTATCCTGCTTCCTCCCAGACACCAACCAAGCAGATTAATTCCAACCACATAATGGGGTGAGTCCTCAGTTTGCTGACCTGCATGCCAGGCTTGCCTGGAATCACCCTCCCAGGCACACCCAGAAGTCACGCTTTACCAATCTCTGGGCATTCCTAATCAGCCAAGTTAAAACCCAAAATTAACAGTCTTGATCATCGCAGGTTCCAAGGCCTGGCTGATAACTGACCGAATTGGGAAACTGAGGCTGGACTCTCAGAAGAAATACAGACCCAGGAGGAGGGGTTCCAAAGGGCAGTGGTCCAGGGGAGAGGGGCTCTGTGTGGTGGTAGCACCCGAGTTGGTTCTAGGGTCACTTAACCTGAGGATCCTGTGTGTCTGTGAGTCAGCCATAAGCCTGCTGAATGAGACCAGTTTAGGACTTCCTCCGAAGCCCATTGTCCTGTTGCCTCTGTTACTGTAACACAACACCTTCAAACAAGTCATTTACAAGGAACAGAAGGGTACTGTTCACTGCTGCCACAGAAGATCAAAGCAGTAGAAGAGGTGGTATCTGGGAAGCGCGCGTGATGTTTGTTTCTCACGCCGGCCATGGGCACCAAACTCTGCGTGCAAATCTTCCCGGCACTGGTTCCTTCTCTCAGACCATTTCTAGGGTAGGCTCTTCCAGACGAAACAATCATACTGTAAACTTCTCTTTCTTGTTGTTTGGGTGTTTCAGAGACAGGATGTTGCTAAAATTCCTTCCCTGGAGGAAACATAAGCAATTCCTACACCTTCTCTCCCAAGGTCCCAATGACAAACCCAGCACAGTTCCACCAGAGTTCACTACGGGGAGCCAATGCATTTATCAGACTTCCTTAGAGAGTGGGCGACAGGTTATTTCTGGAGTGTGGGTGCTCCTCCCCCAAGAGTCTACACCAGAAAGTCTTTTCCCAGCAGGGTTGAAGATTTTTTTGTTTGTTCCTTTTCGTTTTGTTTTGTTTTGTTTTTTTGAGACAGGGTTTCTCTCTGTAGCTGGAACGCACTCTGTAGACCAGGCTGACCTCTAACTCACAGAGATCCGCCTGCCTCTGCCTCCTGGTATTAAAGGCATCTGCCACCGACGTCCAAGACTTTCTTACAGCTGCATAGACACGCACACGCCTTTGCTGCTCTGCCTTAGGAGATCCTCTAGCCCCTCTGAGGCCATAAGTAGATAGGCCAGAGTCGCCTGTGACAGGTGATCAGGAGCTGCTGGACACACACAGAGGAGAATCTTGTGACTCCCTGCTCTACCCCCTGGGGATGTCAATTGTCAACAAGCCCAGTGGAGATAATCTCTTGCAAATAGGCACAGCAGAACTCCCCAAGAAGGCAGCTGTTTAGCTGGGAGGGTAGTCCTGTAGAACACAGGGCCACACACCCTGTAGCCATGGTTCGGTTTGAACTCAACCTCTGGGGTGCTGAGATTATAGCTGTATGCCAGCATGCTTAGTTCATGTTCCACTTTTTAATATAGCACTAAACTCTTTTGTAAAGTTAGTACCGTGTCTGGACCTGAGTAGCAGTTACCGGTGTCGGGGGTGGAGGATATGTCTTAATTTATAAAATACTAAATTGTATATTTATATGCTTTCTGTATTTTTCTTAATTTGGTTTTTGTGAAACAGGATAACTCTATGTAGCCCTGGCTGGCCTGGAACTCACTGTGTAGATCAGGTTGCTCCTGAACTCACAGAGATAGGTTTGCCTCTGCCTCCTGAGTAATGGAATTAAAGGTGGGTGTCGCTATGCCCAGGTATTTTCTAATATTGAAAAAATTGGACCTTTTCAGGGCATTGGTGGTGCAAGCCTTTAATCCCAGAGGCAGAGGTAGGTGAATCTCTGAGTTTGAGGCCAGCCTGGTCTACAGAGCGAGTTTCAGAACAGCCAGGGCCACACAGAAAAATCCCATCTTGAAACAAAGCAAAACAACAAAGAGTTGTGTTTTAGGTTGGGGGTGCTAATCAGAGTCAGTGCTGGACAAGCTTCTGTACGAGGAGGCCTTGCTTAGGTTCTGGGTCCCTACAGAAGAGCAGCACCCAATCCTACGGCAGTGAAACAGCAGGAAATACTGAATGTCAGTCAGGTTTAGCGCCCCTGTTAGTGTATGCAGATCATATGCTAATATACGTAAAAGAATAGGCGCCCCAGGATTGCAAACCGTGGGATGTCTTGTTCTAAACCCAGAGTGTCAAGCTGTGAGCTAAGATACCCACAGCCTGGCTTTCCTGGGGGGGGGGAAAGAGACTGCAGCTCCCCAGGTAGTGAGATGGAATGGGGTGGGGGTGGGGTGAAGTATCACCTGCTAATCCCTAGCCTGCTGAGGCCACCACTCTTCCTGATCCCTGCCCTGACCCTGGAGGCTGGCTAATCTCCACCCCACCCCCGCACCCCACCCCTGCATCCCAAGACCAAAGACAGCTTGGCATCCCCTTCCCTGAGATTCATGGGGACAGGGGGCCCTCCAGGCTCCCAAGCAGCCCTGTTGCAGAGTCTAGGGTCCTTGCCTAAAACAAATAGTGCTCTTGGGGGCCAGAGAGAGGCAGTAGTAACTAGACTAGTGGTACTGTCCTAGTTAGGGCTACTATTGCTGTGATGAAACACCCAGACCACAGCAACTTGTAAAGTGTTTACTTGGCTTATATTTCCAAATCCCTGTTCATCATTGAAGGAAGCCAGGATAGGAACTCAAACGGGGCAGGAACCTGGAGGCAGGAGCTGATGCAGAGGCCATGGAGGGGTCCTGCTTACTGGCTGGCTCCTCGTGGCTTGCTCAGCCTCCTTCCTTATAGAACCCGGGACCCCCAGGCCAGGGACAGCACCGCCCACCATGGGCTGGGCCCTCCCCATCGATCCCTAATTAAGAAAATGCTCTATAGGCTAGCCTACAGCCCCATCTTATGAAGGTGTTTTCTCAGTTAGGGTTCTCTCCTCTCAGATGAGGAGAGCTGTGTCAAGTTGAAAAGGCAAGCACAGTAGCATAGCCTTGAGCGGGCCCAGCAGCTAGGCTTGCCCTTGTGTGGCCAGGTCACCTTCATAGAGCCCCAGTTCTGGCATCCCAAGATGCTTGGCTTGTGTAGCAGCCATGGAGACCCCCAAGCTTTCAGGGAAAGGGATCTCTGGCAGCCTGTGTTGCCAGGGTTACCTGGGAGCTGCGCCCTCACAATCAGGCTGCCGTGGGCATTGTCTCTGTGGTGCTCCTTATCCTGCCGCGGCCCACAAGGCCCACCCGCCTCTCTTCCGCTGCTCCCTGAGCAGGAGACGAGAAGGTTCTTCTGCCTGTGCATCTGGGCCCGTGTCCTGCAGACGAGGTAGTAGGTGTGGGTCGACGGCAGCAGGGAGCTCTCTTCCTTTCTCTCTGTTCTACCATCCTGTCTGTCCTCAAGTGCTGGCGGCATCTCTGAGACAGCTTCCCATACTTTCTTGCCATGCCCCTTCCTGGTCCTCCATGGTCAAGTTCCTCTCCCCTCCTTCCTACCTAGCACCCCATCTCCATTTTTCACCTCTAACTTGGGGGTCAGGAAGTAGAGTCAACGAATTCTCACTAAGGTGCAAAAGACTAAAAGGGGGCATATCTGCTTTTTAAAAGAGAAGCACTAGGTGACCATCCATCTTTTTCTAATTCAGATCTGTCATATTTCTCCCCCCCTTAAAAACAGTCTCAGCTGGGCGGTGGTGGCGTACGCCTTTAATCCCAGCATTTGGGAGGCAGAAGCAGGCGGATCTCTGTGAGTCCGAGGCTAACCTGATCTACAGAGCGAGTTCCAGGACAGGTTTCAAAGCTGCAGAGAAACTCTGCCTCAAAAAGAAAAAAAAAAAAAAAAAAAAAAAAAGCAAAACAAAACAAAAGCAAAAAAACCAATCTCATCATCTATCTGTACCATTTGGGGCAAATGCTAGATACAGCCAAGGCAAATCCAGAGATGGCTACCTAGTGTCACAAGACACACCACAATCTAAATTACATTCTAAATGGCTTTGCCATGGCCTTTTCCTGTTCAATATTTAAGTCTCACTTAGACAGTTCCTGGAGTGCCCCAACTTCGGCCTCTCAGACCCCCCACACACACACATTGTGCTGACTTCCCTCATACAGCCCTGGGTGCAGTGTGTGTGTGTGTGTGTGTGTGTGTGTGTGTGTGTTTTGGATGTCCCTGCTACCCAAGTGGAGTTCCTGAAAAATCACTGGGCCTACAGAAGATACGCAATAAATGCTTGACAAATAGTTAGATCAGCCTGTAGACCAAGAACGTGTGGCTATATGTAAGGATGTCTAATGCAACCCCTCTGCTCCGCAGCAATGGCCCAAATCATCGATGTGGTGCCCTGGGAAGATGGCTCCGCCCATGTGTATGCTTCCCCAGCCATCCTCCTCCCGCTGGAGCGCGTGCGCAACCCACTCGCCGGTGTGAAGCACCAGCTCTACCACCCAGCCCTGCCCACGCTGCGGCGCATGGACATGGACACTGTCAAGGGCTACCTATCGGATGAGCACTCCCAGTCTTCCACCTACTGCTCCAAAGGTCAGGCCACGTCGCCATCAGCAGCTGCTCAAGGGTCTGCTGTTTGCCTTTGGAGCAAGGGTGGCTCGCAAGACAGAGATCTTGGAGGAAAAGGCTTGGGGCAAGTGGCAGATGAAAAAAATGATGGAAGCCAGTCCACTCCCTTCCAGAAGGTTCCTCCAAGATCTGTCCACTACTTCCTGAGCAGAAAAAAAATGGGGACCGGTACAGGGCTTGCCTCCCCACTCCCAGGGCTACGGGAGGCAGCGTGAACTAAGGGTGAAGGGCAGGTTGCCTGCTGCTGCATGACTGATGGGCAGAGAACCCTGCTGCTGCTGTTGTGGGGGGCAGAGTTCTTTTACTTTCTTTAGGTTTAAACAAAATAAGGTTTCTTCAGCTTGGAATTCTGAAGGTAACGCCCCCACTGCATTGCAACACGTAGCCCAGGCTGGCCTGAAACTCTGCTCCTCCTGTCTCAGATATGTAGCCCCATACCTGATCTTCTTAGTGGCCTGTCGTGTGGAGGAGGAGGAGGGCTTAAGCTGCGCGCGCGCACATAAGCGTTCAGAAGAAAAACCTCAGGTGTCCTTCTTTGGTTGCTGTTCATTGTGGGTTTGAGACGGGTTCATCAGTTAGGCTGGACAAATGCTGGGATCCTTCTGTCCTCTCCGCACACTAGGATGACAAGTGTCCCCCACCACACTCAGCTTTTCATGAGTGTGCCTGGACCAGACCTTGGGTCCTCATGTTTATATAGCAAGCACCTTACTAACTGAGCTATCTCCCCTGCGCCACCAGTCTTTGAGACTGTGACTTGCGAGGCTGTCCTGGCTGATCTTGAACTCCTGAACTCAACCGATCCTCCCTGTTCAACCTCTGCATCAGCAGGGATTGCCAGTCCACACCACCACGCTCGATACAGAAGCACAATCTTTTGTTCCCTGACTTTGTAAGATTTTCAGACAGAAAATAGCTGAAACGGCAGTGTTCTGAGCTCCTTTCCCTCTACCCGTCCAAGGTCTGTTGCAGTTTGTATTCACGCGCTATCTCTTGCTTGCTTTCTTTTCTCCGTCTCTCTCTCTCTCTGCTCTCTCCTGTATCGCCCTTTCCTCTCCCTCCTCCTCTTTTCCTTTCTCTCTCTTCTCCCTCTTTCTCTCACATTCACACACACACATATGTGCATGTGAAATTTTGCCAGGGAGTTAGTTCCCAGCCCCCTTCATGACATGATACCATTATCAGACCTAGGAAAGTTAATAATTCCACAATAGCCCTTAACCAGCACACCTTAAAATCTCCCCTGGAGTCTACAAATATGTATTTTATAGTTTAAAATGGGAATGGGGTTGAATTGAGGGTTATGCATCATGTAAGTCTTTAGCCTTAGCCTAAAACGATTTTCCATTGTTTCCAATTTTTTCCTTGGACTATTCGCTTTTTATTATAATTTTTTGTATTTAAGGTTAAGATTACATCATTTCCCCCCTTCACTTTCCGCTCTCCAAAACCTCCTATGTACTTTCCTTGGCTCTCCCTCAAAATCATGCCTTTTTTTCTTTACTTGCTGTCACATACATGCATACATACATACTCCCAACATAATATGCTCAGTCTGTATAATGTTACTTGTATGTGTTTTCAGGCCTGACTACTTGGTATCGGAGAGCCGATTGGTGAGCCCTTCCCTGGGGAAGACTATTTCTCCCACTCTCTGCCTTCCTTAGTTACTATAGTTCTTTGTCTATGCTTGAGACTTTGTGACCTTCCCTGCTTCCATGTTAGGTGTCGATTGGTACCATCCTTGTTCAGGTCATATATGTGCAGCCATGTTAGTGAGATTTCACAAGTGTAGCTTCATTGACATTCCTAGGAGACAAAAATCTCACAGCAAAATTCCCGCTCCTCTGGCTCTTTCTGCTCCCTCTTCCACGATGATTCCTGAGCCTTGCAAGAGTTGTGTTATAGATGTATCACTTGGAACGAGACTCCACAACTCCCCATTTTGATCAACTGTGGTTTTCTGTAATGGTCTCCTGGTGTGGGAAGTCCTTCTGTGTATGTGTTGCTTTTATTGATTAATGAATAAAGAAGCTACTCTGATAGGACAGAATAGAGATGGGCTGGGAAAACTAAATTGAATGCTGGGAGAAAGTCGGCAGAGTCAAGGGGATGCCATGTAGGCTACAGGAGACAGACACACTGGAACCTTGCCGGTAAACCACAAACCTTGTGGTAAAATATAAAATGATGCAAGTGGGTTAATTTAAGATATAAAAACTAGCTAGCAATACACTTAAGTGATTGACCAGGCTATGATTTAATTAATATAGTTTCTCAGTGATTATTTCTGGCCTAGGCATCCAAGAATGAATGAGCAGCCTCCGGCAACAGTCTCCATCCACTACAAAGAAAAGTTTCCTTGATGAGAGGAGGAAAATTGCATTTACCTTGGATATAAGGATAAATATTTAGAAAGCGCTAAGGGATTACGCTGGTTTAGTAAAGTGGCAGTTGTGGATTCTTCAAGATCAATGACTCCTCTAACCCCAAGTAGTTGGTTAGGTTTCCACCCAGGCATGACTTCCCTCTTGTTGAGTAGGTATTAAGCCTAATTAGTTAGCTGTTGGTCACTGCTGAGTTATGCTTGCTACTATTGCACCCTCAGGGTCATCATGGCATGCCGGCCATTGTTGTGGTTCATAGTATCATAGATGGGTAGGACTGTTGGTTGTTTTCCTCCTTTGGAAAGTTTACCAGAAGGGACCGTGAAAGCTAGTCCTCAGAAAGGAGGTGAGGCAGACCCAGCGTGGGTGCTCTGGGTCCTGGTCATAGCCACTGCTGGGAGGCAACCAAGTGGAACACCAATAATTTATAATGTTTTAGGAGTCTCTTGGACAACCTTGACCAAGAATTCAGAAGAGAACTTCCCATGCCTGGTGTTAGTTTTGTTTGCTTATTTGTTTTGCTTTTTAAGATGGTCCATGGCACTTGGAGGGGGCATTGTCAGCCCAGATAAAAATTTTCATTTAAAATATGTGTGTGTGTATTGCACTATAGGTATTTTTTTTAAAAAGTATTTATTTATTATGTATACAATATTCTGTCTATGTGCATGCCTGAAGAGGGCACCAGGTCTCATTGTAGATGGTTGTGAGCCACCATGTGGTTGCTGGGAATTGAACTCAGGACCTTTGGAAGAGCAGGCAATGCTCTTAACCACTGAGCCATCTCTCTAGCCCCCACTATAGGTATTTTTATGCAGCTAAATAATAGTATGATACCCTTATTGTTATTTTATTCCTTCCCTGCTCTTTGCATATTTATCTTTCTTCCCGAACTAATGTTCCTCTATTTTTCCCACTTCCTCCTTCACATCACTTGTACTCTGCTGTTTCCTTCTCTGTTGCCTCCCACCTGTGTTCTCTTTTTATTTTCCTGGTTTCTGTAGCTAGTCCAGGTTCTACACTCACATCCAAAGACTTCAGACTAGAAACCTCAGATGAGAGAGAATTATGACATTTCTCTTTCTGGGTCTTGGTTACTTTATTCAACATGATCTTTTCTAGTTCCGTCTGTCTATCCAACCAGGCTCTGAAGAAGGATGTCCTATTCTGTTTTGTTTCATTTTGTTCTTCAAGACAGGGTTTCTCTGTGCAGCCATGGCTGTCCTGAAACTCACTCTGCAGACCAGGCTGGCCTTGAACTCACAAAGATTCGCCTGCCTCTGCTTCTGAAGTGCTGAGATTAAAGGCATGCGCCACCACTGCCGGACCATTAGTGGCTTTTTAAAGGAGTCAAAACAGCAGCATTGTAGGCAATCCTCCATGATGAGTTTCAGCAATTGTTTCCAGGGCATTCTTTTTTTTTTTTTTTAAAGATTTATTTATTTATTATGTAGACAGTGTTCTGTCTGTCTGTGTGCTTGCTGGCCAGAAGAGGGCACCAGATCTCACTACAGATGGCCGTGAGCCACCATGTGGTTGCTGAGAATTGAACTCAGGACCTCTGGAAGAACAGTCAGTGTTCTTAACCTCTGAGCCATCTCTCCAACCCCCTCCAGGGTATTCTTTAATTCATTACTTGAAAGCTGGATCTAAAGGCTTGTTTATACACATTCAGCATTTCATAGGTGACTTGACAAAGTAAGAAGGTCACTAAATTCTTCATTGTTTATGCTGCTAACTTTGGCAATTTGGTTAAGGTGGTAACCTGAGTGTAAGCTCTTCTTGGTCTCCAATAGTCTCTGCAATGGTAAAAGTAAAATGCTGAAGGTCCCCCAGTGGCTGCAGTGGACAGCAGGGAGCCCCCAAGTGGCGGTGTGAGACCCAGACTGATAGGTACACGATACAGAGAGAGGTTGGATATTTATTTAGTGGGTTATAGAGGGGAAAGGAGGAAAAGGAAGAAGGGAGAAGAGCAGAGAGAGTGGGGGAAGGAGAGAAGTCCCGGCAGTAGCTACTTCTCTGGGAGAGAGATAGAAAAGAAGAGAGCTCAGGCTGCAGGAGGGCAGGAAGATCTGCCTGCCTTGGTGGTGGGAGGGAGTGGGCTGGGTTTGTCTCTTAAAGGGACAGGACAGACCATTACATTCCTATCTCTTTTTTATAATAAAAAGGCTGGAAGTTAGGCACAACAGGTTAAATGAATTAGGGTGGCAGATTCTCAAGACTTCTTCCTGCTTATTTGTGGATATCATCTTGAAGGGGAACCTGAGAAAACTGGATGTTGGTTACATCTTGGTGTGACTGGTCTCTTTGTTCCTGTCCAGTGTTTATGGGGTGGAAATGTCTGGTTTCTCTTACACCTGTTTAAGGTATTGGCAGAGCAGAGGACAGAGTTAAGTTTATGAAATTTTTTTTTTTTTAGGACCAGGGGATTGAGAGGGGTGTATCTGACCTGTTTAAGGTGGATCCTTCAATTCGGCTCCCTGAAACTCACAAGAATTTTTGGGGTTTGTGAAAACATACGTTTTAGACAGCAGTATATTTATATTAGAACGGCTGTGACAGATGTTTTTACACAATGAAAAGTATTTTTTAAGGGGCTAGAAAGATGGCTCAGTGGTTAAGAGCATTGCCTGTTCTTCCAGAGGTCCTGAGTTCAATTCCTAGCAACCACATGGTGGCTCACAACCATCTGTAATGAGTCTGGTGCCCTCTTCTGGCCTGCAAGCATACACACAGACAGAATATTGTATACATAATAAATAAATAAATAAATAAATACATAAATATTTTAAAAAATTATTTTTTAAGACTGTGAAAGGCAGCATGAGAGAGAAATTTGGTAACTTGTATTTATCCTCACATTTTTATAATTTGCAGGTACACACCTTAATAAGTTTTACTGAAATTTGTTTGATGAGGTTGTCCTTTTAAACTGAAAAAAAAACCTCTCAGCTGTCAAACTGCATCAGAGATCTTTGAGAAAGATAAAAAATTTTATTTGATTTATTGATTAAAAAATGACAGAGAACCTATTTGGTGGCACCTGGAACTGCTCCTCAGGGTCCGCCATGATCGATGAGGGTCGTATTTTTCTTTTGCTGTTTATCTCAGGACCTGCCAGGCTCCAGAAGATCCTGTGGGCTAGGAATCTGTAAGGAGACCAGCCTAACTTTACCTGAGCAGCTAGGCTATCAATTCCAGTGATTCTGTCCATGTCTGGAGATCTTCAGTTTAGATGAAAAGCAGTTTTTCCCAGTGGTCAGCACTTGCAGTTGAAGTAAATTGCAGATGAATGGTGTTCTGTGTCCATTTGTCTTCTGTCTTCTTGGGAGGAAGCAGAGTGCTGCTGCTAGGAGCCTACCTGTCCCTTTATGTTTGAAATTTTTTTATAATTAAATATTTAAATGTCATATTCCTCAGATCTCTGAACAGTTGAGGGCTGTTTATCAGGTGTAACTACAGTATAGAATCTGCCTGGAGAGCTGGGTCCCAGCTTGACTGTACCGGCTCTCAATTTAACAGGTAAGATTTACACTTATAAAAAGACAGAAAGAAGAAAAAACTGCTTGCAATAGAAGGTTAGCCACAGAAATGACAATAGTAGAGAACAGCTTAATATATTTTAAATCAGGGTTGGATTACATATATAGTACTTTTTGTAAAAGACTTAAAAGTACATACCAATTTAAAACATGAGACATTGTTTTGTAGTCTGGAATGAGATACAACAAACAGACAATTATAACATTTAACAGTAAACATAGGTTATTTAAGTTACATGTATACACACACACACACACACACACACACACACACACAGTGAACAGGAACTGCTGGAATGGATGCTCTTGGTGGGCCCTACCAAAGGCATGCCACTGTGCAACACACACATGTAACAGAGTCAGCACAGGGGAAACCAGGCAGGGAATACCTCAGTAAAGATGGCAGGACTTGGTCATCTGACCTGGCTCTCAGTTAAGATGGCAGTGAAGTCACCTGACCTCAGTTAAGATGGCTGTAAATTCACCTGACCTCAGTCAAAATGGCAGCAGTCACATGTTGTATGGAAAAGCCACATTTTTTTTGCGCCACAAGAGATTTAAACATAGCACACGCCTCGGTGGGGAGCAAAGACTGGAATTGAAAACAGCTGCCTCGTGGATCCAGTCAGTCCACGGGACCAGCAGTAGTGGTGGCAGGGACAGTCTGAGGAAAAGCAGAGCTGGCAGGACACTGTCAGAGCATTCGCAGGCAGGTGGCTGATAGTTTGAGGGTTTATACCATAGCTGAAAATTTGAAAACCCATGAAAAACATCACAGGACCTATAGAAGACTGTCCCTCTCTCTACAGGCAGGGTGTTAAAGTCTGACTGGCTCCAGTCCGGGTGACTTGGAAGTCAGAGAGGCTAGAGGCCACTCTGAGTGATCTCTCACAATGGGGACCACTTACAAGTGGTCCAAAAGAAAAGAAAAAGAAAGGAGAAAGAAAAATCCGAGGGACCCTGGGCCCCAAATCGAATGCACTGCACAGCGTGTGCAGTGCTAGCACAGGAGGATCAACCCTGAGTCATGTTTTTAGTTATGAAAAGCAACCAGAGATGAATGTTAGTAAAGGGCTTGGACATAGTCGTGAAGGCTGTGGTTGGGGGCAGAAACAGGAAAACTCACCACCGAAGCTGCTGGTGTGCGTAGAGGTTGGCATTTAGGCAGATAAAATGCAGAGCTGTTGTAAAGAAACCTGGTTCCCAAGCCCAGAGTCCCACGTGTACTCTGCCAGCCTGCCAGCGGATAGGAAGTTACATGGAGAGCCTGGCTGAGTCACAAGCACCAATGTAATGGTAAAAACAAAAGGCGCTGTTCCCCAAGTGGCTGCAGCAGGCAGTGGGTCCTGAGACCACAGCGGGCCACGAAGGCAGCCAGTTCTAGGCAGGGAGCCCAAGTGGCCTGCAGGCCATGAGGACCAGTGGGTCCTAGGCAGGGAGCCATGTGGTGGGTGAGAGACCAAGACAGAACAGCCAGTCCCATGAGAAGACAGCAGTCACAGTGGGTAAGAGACACACAGAGAGGCACAGATAGGCATACCATGCAGAGTGAGGTTAGAGATTTATTTAATGGGTTGTGGAAGGGAAAAGGGAGGAGAGGAAAGAAGAGAGAGAGAGAGAGAGAGAGAGAGAGAGAGAGAGAGAGAGAGAGAGAGAGAGGTGGTGGGGGAAGGAGAGGAGCCACAGCAGCAGCTCTCTTTGGGAGAGAGAAAAGAAGAGAGCTCAGGCTACAGGCAGGAAGAAAGATCTGCCTGCCTCAGTGGTGGATGGGGGTGGAGGGGTTGGGGTGGGGCTTGTCTCTTAAAGGGACAGGACAGACCATTACAGTCTCAAAACTTAAAGATCCTAGACCTACGTGAACTCAGATGAATACTTTTTATTGTTCTTCTGGGGATTGAAGACAGAGTCTACACAAGCTAGGCAAGTTCTTTACCATTGAGGTGTACCCTAGCCCTTAGATTTTTGAGACCAAGTCTCATGAGATAGCCCACACTGATCTCAGACTCACAATCCTCCTTCAAGTGCTAGAATTGCAGGTATGTATCACCACACCTGACTCAGATTACTCTCCACAGTTCCCTAGCACAGGTATGATTGGGTTTATTTGGTTTAATGACCAATGCTTACGGTCTTTTGCTGTTACAAACATGAAAATAGGTCTTCTTCTTTTGACATCATTTGTGGAGTCAAAGGACATGTGCATATTTGCAATTCTGTTTATGTGAATGTTTCCTGGACTGCTGTCTGCAGACTCCAATCAATTCACATAGCTTCCAGTAATGTATGCTGAGGGGCCTATTTCTTAGAGCTATACTAACATTTGCATTGTTCCCAGTCTGGCCTAATAAGTGGAGGAAATTGGAATATTAATGTAACTTAAATGTACATTCATCTTGTAAATGAAGCAGGGTGTGTTTTTATGTGTTTAGGGGCCTGAAGTCAAATGTATTTCTAGTATTTGTGTATGAACTACTCAACCAAGCCATTTATCCGTGTTTCCTTCTGATTTTTATTTGTTTTGTATTGTCCTGATTCCTAGGAGCTCCTCTAACATTAAGGAAATTATCTCTTCTGTAAAATTGGTATATTTTCCTTTTTCCTTTTTCCTTTTTCTTTTTCTTTTCTTTTCTTCTTCTTCTTCTTCTTCTTCTTCTTCTTCTTCTTCTTCTTCTTCTGCTTCTTTTTTTGGTTTTTCAAGACAGGATTTCTCTGTAGCTTTGGGTCCTGTCCTAGAACTAGCTCTTGTAGACCAGGCTGGCCTTGAAATCACAGAGATCCTCCTGCCTCTGCCTTCCACCTGGCTCCTTTGTCTTTTGACTCTTTTTGTGCTTATTTTTTATCTTATTTATTAACACGCATGCATGCATGCATGTGCTGATAGGTCATGGTTCATAGAGGTCAGAGGATAACTCTTAGGGGTCAGTTCTCTTCTTCCCTCCTGTGGGTAGCAGGTCATGGGGCCATCAGTCAAGTGCCTTTTAACCACTGATCTTTTTGCTAGGTTTGTGTTTATTTTTGTGTGCTCAAGGTTATTGGTCTTTTATTTCAACTTTTGGCTTTTTAAGGGAATTAAGTCCTTCTGTCCCAGGTTTATAGAGGAGTTTGTCCACATTTTCTTCTCGTACTTTTAAGTCTTCATATTGCTCTCCATTGCATTTTATTGGTAAGAGATATTGATATTGTTTTATCTTAAATATTTAAAAGCTAACTTTTTTTTCTTTGAGACAGAATCTCACTATGTAATCCTGGTTGGCCTGGAACTTGAGTCATAGATCAAGTTGACTTTGAACTCCCAGAGATCTGTCTGTCTTTGCCTCCTGATAGCTGGAGTAAAGTCACGTGCCACCACACCTGGCAAAACATTTTTTTCCTCTCTTAAGGGGCATAGTGTAGGTCAAGCCTCTAGGGTGGGCCTATAAGGGCTCCTGAAAGGGACACTTTTATCATCTTTCAACAGATGACTTTAACAAGGCCCACTTCACAGTCCTGGGAGTCCCCAACAAACCCCTGCAATGCCTGGTGAGTGTACTTTGTCCTCAGCCCTGGATGGGCTCAGTGGCACCAGTCTGTACTGATGCCTAGGCACTTCCGGTCCAGGGCTCTACTTCCTGAGCATCTGCCCAGCTACCTACCTGGGACTTCACCCCATCCAATCCAGGCCCTGGTTTACTGAATTCCCCCTCCCCCAGTCCCATGGGCCTAATGTCAGCTCAGGAAGCCCCCAGGATCTTGCATCGGCCATTATGATCCATCGTTCCGCAGGACTTCACAGCGACAGGCCAGAAGCTCTGTCATAAGTACCGCGAAGGAAAAATGGTGCCCATCGCGCCAGGCATCAACCGGGTCGACTGGCCCTGCTACACGCGTGCCATCGAAGACTGGTCTAAATTTGTGTCCAGGTCCGGGGACTTCAAGCTACCTTGCTTAAACAAGAGGGGTCAGTCTACCAATCACAAAGGGTGCCCTAGAAAAGGGGGAGATCTCCCGCAGGTTGATGACGTTCTAAAGCAAGGGATGAAGGAATAAGGGCCATGGGCCCAAGGACCAGAAACACAAGCACAGGAACCAGGTTGGGGTTGGGGAGCCGCTGGGGCGACTCCAGGTCAGGGAAGTCACTGGGGCTGGGCCTGAGAGTCAAGCAGGGCTCCGGCGAGGAGGAGCTTAAATGAGGGCGGGCCAGGTTTGTTCGGATCTAGGTTCCCAAGGTGGGTTCTCTTCACAGTGGAGAGTTTCAGTGGCTACGCGGTGCGGTACTTGAAGCCTGACGTGACCCAGAACTGGCGGGTAGGGAAAGATGCACGCAGACCCGACCCGGGTGGTTGGGAGGGAGCGGCTGCTGGGGTCCGCGCCCTGAGGGCTTACGGGTCCCCATTCCTGTGGCCTGCCCCAGTACTGCCTCAACCAGAACCCCAGTCTGGACCGCTACGGACAGAAGCCCCTGCCTTTCGACTCGCTGTAAGTGACACCACGCGGGACCTCTACGGGACCCCGATCCCCGAGCAGGGAAGGGAGGGATTGTAACTGTAGGACAGATACTGAATTTCTACCGAACCGGCGCCTATGGGCACCTCCTAGCCCTGGGAGCCGAGTTCAGCAGGGGTTTTCTCGGTTCTTTCGCAGGAACGCATTCCGACGCTTTGGCTCCCACTACAGGTAGAGAATGGCCCCGCCCTGGCCACAGCCGGCCACGCCCCCTGGGAAGGGGGACTGGAAGATGCTCAGCCAGCTATCAACCTACTGCTTAGTGGGCCCGGGCTAGGGGTGCATTTCCCACCAGGATTGGCCTAGTGGAGGCTGGAAGGAGGGGGCCTGGGAGGATGGAGAAGGAAGGAACTGCCATCTGCTTCCTATTGCGTGATAGCGCCCCCAGCAGGGTCACCTTTAGTTAAAGGCCAGATACAAAGTGGAAGTGCTGAGAAACTCATCTCTCCAGCCATGCCCAGTGACGCAGACTCCATGATGGAGCTTCCCCTCATGGAGCTTCCCCTTCACACACACACACATACACACACACACACACATACACACACACACACATACACACACACACACACACTCTCTCTCTCACACACACACACACACTGGCACAACCATGCACTGTCTCTCCCTACAACACACACTCTGCTTCACCTCTTGTAGCTTTTAGCATCCAGAGTGCTGCCCTTTCCTGTTCCCGAAAGCTGCCTTCCCCAGCCCACACGGAGGAAAACTTTGGGTGTTGTTACTGTGTGATGCTAGAGTAGGTTCATACATGACTGAAAACCCATGAAGCAGTTGACGTTGGGGAGTCATTGGGAAATAGTATGAGGTAGATTCGAGATGAAGAAAATAGTCAAAAAAATACGAAAGGAAATAGGGGACTATTGAAGGCTCTTGGGCACATAGGCTGGATGGAAACTATTTTTAGATCCCTGAGGGCAGAGAGGTGGGCTTTGGGGTTGGGGTGGAGCGTGGGAAGAAAAGCTTGTTTTCTCTTGAGAGCACCCTGGAGTTCCCATCTCACTCCTCTTTCTCTCTACAGTCGCGTCAACTATCTGACTCCCTGGCATTAATCTGTGGGTGGGGAAAGGCTGATCCCTCTATGGCTGGACTGTGCCACCTCCAGGTCCCCTAGCAGGACAGAGGGCATATGGTGGCACCATCCATCTCTCCAGGAGTTCAGTTCAAGAAATAAACCTAATGTTTCTTTAGAGAGGCCCAGGTTCTGTGTGTGTATATATATGTGTGGCGTGGGGGGTGGTCCGGGTCAAGAACAGTTGATAGTGTATTATTACCCTTGTCTGTTCTTTACCAATGCCTAGGGAATGAGAAGAGGGTGTGTAGGGGCTAGTGAAGGATGTTTTGTGGCCTTGCATAGAATATCAGGCCTGAGGCTCAAGTCTAGCTGGGGCTGAAGCACTTGGGCGGGCTGGGATCTGGCTCTCCCTTATGCTTCTCTTTCCCTTACCTGCAACCCCTAACCAAGATCCTGAGTTTGAGCATTAAGTGGAAAGGAGGGCCTAGAGAGGGATCTGTGACACCTCTCTGGAATGGGTTTCCTGGTACCCAGAGCTTCCCTGAAAGGAAGTAGGCAGGTTAGGCTTGTACCATCTATTCCCTGTGAAGCAGCAAGTTTCAAATATAAACCTGGATGAGGTGAGAGCATTCCGGACTCTTCAAGGCACTAAGGAATTTATCGCCTAAATAGAAGGCCATCTGCTTTACTCTTCAGCAGTGTGAGTGGCCCTCATCTGTCCCTTGTCCTGAGCCCCTCCAGTAATCGAGACCATGATGACCTAGGTGCGGGGAACCCTCAGGGAAGAGGGTCTCACAGCCTGGTGCTATGTTAGGGCAGCTGATATCTGTATATGCTCCTGGGTCTTCCATGCCTCACCCTGCTAGAGGGCAGCCTGCAGGGAGAGGTCCCGACTGGGACAAACAGCCACTAAGCTCAAGAACTCAGTACGGGATTCCTGTTCCCGGAGTTCCCCTGGAGCCTCAGGTACCCACAAACCTGAAATCACGTGCCAAGTCACATGTCCACATGCTGTTGTGTATTCCAAGGATAGACCCCTGTTTTCTTATTTTCAGCAAAGTTGGCGTCCATAGGCATTAGGAATTCACTCACTCCTTCCTTCCTGCATCCATTGCACAGCTGTTAAATGCCAAGGCTAATGTCTCAGGAGGAAGGAATTGAGAGGAAAATGGCCTCACAGGTCAGAATACATTATCATCTAGTATCTGGTGTTCTGCAGACAACCGGGCAGGAACCTGGGAAGGATTTGCCTCTTTCATGCAAATCCAGTGAACAGCTTTGGGAAGCCAATGGCAGAGCCCCTGAGGTGTCAGAGCTCCAAGTGTTCCTCCAAATGACAGAGAAGAAATGGGCCTGCCTGAGGTTCCCAGCAGGGATGCTGAAGTCCTGCCTTGGGTGACAATAGTCACAGGAACGCTAAGGAACATGCTGATGGAGCAAGAAGGAACTGAGTGACCAGGATTTTTAATTTATTTATTTTTTTCTGGGCCTGCTTCCTTGACCCAGAATGACTAAGAAAGTTCACCACATAATGTGGCCCAGCTTTGGGGCCTGTGCCTGGGCCAGTGTTCTACTGAACACTCAGGTGACAAAGACAAGCAGTCAGCCTTCCTTTATTGGTGCTTTGAGCCCAATTGAGAAAAACAGGTTTGCAGGCCAAGCCACTTTAAACCCCAAACCACATTCCCCTAGTCCAAGATTCCACAAGGGACAACCCATAACAGTAATTAAGGTTCTTGTCCACTGGCTGTACATTTAATACCAACTTTAAAAATACAAGAAATAGAAACTGTACCTAACAATAAAGGGAGTAGAAAGCATAAGCAAAAACAATTGAGCATGTACTTTTTATTAAGTTTTTAAGTGCTTCACAGGCCCCATGAGGTAAGTCGTTTTAAATCCATTTACTAGCTGGTTAATTAAATGGACTTGGGGCTGAAGAGATGGCTCAGAGATTGAGAGCTGGCTGCTGTTCTAGAGAACCCAGGTTCAGTTCTCAGCACCCACATGGAGGCTCAGAACCATCTTAACTCTAATTCCTGGGGATATAGCCCTCTTCTGACCTCCAAGGGGCACCAGGCACACAGGTGGTGCACATACACGCACGCAGGCAAAACACTCATTCACAGAAGTCTAAATAAATGGGCTTGAGGAAGCGGTGACTGGCCCAAGACCACATAGCCGGTGACTAGCAAGTTGAAAGCAGAGGAATTGTGACCACTTCATTCTGCTTCTTTCCTGCTCTGAGAAACAAGCCAAGAGTTGGGACGAAAGCAGGGGTGCTTCCTGGGAACTGGGGACTAAAGACGGACTTAGAAGGGATGTCCCGTTAGAAAACTAAGAAGCCAAGATTGGTGGCATACATATATAGTCCCAGGCGATCTGGAGGCTGCGGCATGACAAACAGCCCAGTAGTGTGGGACTAGCCTGAGAGACAGACATAGGGATGCTCTCAGAAGTACTAGTGGTCACTACCTCACTGCCTTGACCACCTCGTCACCTTCAGGAGTTCATGGCTCATGATAAACAGATCCTACGGGAAATCTTTACTGCAATTGTAACCTTGGGGATCGTGCAGCCAGCATGACCTCATCTCAAGGCCCTTTGGACCTGCACACAATCAGTTCCCTGGCGTTTCCAGACTCCACCACATTTTCTCGCTGCTCTGTCCTATTCTTAGGATCTAGTGTCCCAAACTGTGTCCAAAGCCACCCTTCCACCAGCCTTAAAGGGCCTCACATGCCCCCTTCTCTCATTCTTCCCAAAGACCACAGCACAGGGGCCTTGGCTGTTTTAGGGGACGTACATATCTGGCCAGTAGTCTTAGTTGCCAGCATTCCTTTTACCTCCATTATGAGGTGCAGGAATGGGATCTGGGTCTCCAGAATCAATGCGAGCAAATTTGGACTGAATGAAATTCCTACTATAAAGAAACAGTAGTGTTTATTACAGAGCAGCATGGGGAAATGCATCATAGCCCAAGGGTTGGGGCAGGCTCAGAAATAATGCTCAAGCTGAGATGGGGCGTGGTGAAGATGTGGGACTGTTCCCAGATGGCTGTGGCCATTTTTACTGCCTGTTTGCCTGTGGCTGCACATACATGTGGAAGCTAGAGATCAACATGGATGTCCTCAATCATTCCCCACCTCATTTTTTGAAATAGGGTCCCTCACTGAATCCAGTATTCACCAAATGGCTAGACTGACTGGTAGGAGCTCCAGGAATGCCCGTATGTCCTGTCATTCCCCCACCTGTGCTCCCAGCCTACGGATACAACCATGCAGATGCTGGGTATTCAAATTCAGGTCCCCATGCTTGAGCAGCAAGTACTGCGCCAACTGGACCTTTTCCTCTCTACTTCTGATTCATTTAAACTCTTGTCTGAAGTTCTTGTCCTGTGCCTGGCAAACAGCGGTGCTCGGTTATGGTCGTGGAAGAAACAAAGGGAGGAATGCAGAGCCAGGGTTGGGCGGGGACATAGGGAAGGGGGAGATCCCACAACCCTGTCCCCACAGACTGCCGTTTATAGGATACTGCAGCAGAAGCCTCTGGAGATGCAGACAGACAGCAGCCAAGGCTCTTCCTGGGGTTGTGACCTCTAGGGACTGAAATGCTTGCTTGAGGGTGGGATGCAGACCTCATCACCAGAGCCTGGCTGGGGCCTTCTGGACCGTCACAGGGTGAGTAGTCCAGGGTGGGACGTTGTCAGTCAGCTCTGGAGGGAGAGCAGGGTTATGGGCCAGGAAGGAGGTGACCTTCTGTGGCAGTACCACGAGGCCAGGCCCTTTAAGGACCTACCCCTCTGCCTGCATGGGAAGGCGGACAACAGTAGTTTGGATCTGTCAGGGAGCTGAGCACCAGCTGGGTCAGGAGGAACATTTTGTTGCCTTGATCCCCTGGCCAGACTGGGTGTCAGGGACAGTCCTGGTCAGAAAAGTGACTTGGAGCCAGAATGCCAGGGATGTCCTGGCCATGTTGCCTGTCTTTCACGTGTGCAGGTGAACTCCAGGGCACTTACCACTGTGTGGCTTGAACAATCCCCGAGCCTCCAAACGGTCTGGACAAAGGAGTGTTCAGGCCTGTCCTACCCACCAAGTAGTGGCATCTAGGTCACACAACTAGAAAATAAGCGGGGCCTGGAGCCTGGCACAGACAGCTGCCGAATGGCAGAAACCTATGGGACAGAATCTCCTGGCTTCTCAGGGCCACACGAGGAATGGGTCACTCTTAGGAACACGTGTGGTTTATGGGTAGCTCCGTGCCCTTTAACTTTCTACCTTTTACCTAGGACAGGGTGCCTTCGGCTCTCAGATGCCAGGCTGAGGGCTATCTCTCCCTCTCTCCAGTTCCACTCTGGCCTATGTGAGTTACAGACAGACTGCTGTAGGCAAGGATGGAGCACAGGCGAAATGTGTGTAAGGATGGAGGTAAAGGCACTGGGCTTGGCCCACCAAGGGATCACTGTAGGGCAGACCAAATGGTGAGAGTGGGCTGGCCGGGCTCGGTGGATCCACCGCTGTCCCAGGGAGCACCGGAATGCATTTTTTTTTTTTTTTTTTTTTTGCCATCTCCAGCTTCTTTTTCTCACAGTCTAGCTCCCTTCTCAAGGGCTATGGTTAAACCTTAAAGTCAGGTAGGGTGGGGAACACTGCACCTGGTACCTGCCAGTTTGTCCATAGCTTCCCCTCAGTCTCAACAATGACTTCATGCAATTCTCACAACAGAGGCAAGTTAGCCTCCCAATTTGGTTTTTGGTTGTCAGATGAGGCAACTGTGTCAAAGAGGTTAAGTGACCAGTCCAAGGTCACACAGCTGGAAGCCTCAAAGCTCAGGATTGAAGCCTAGCCCCAACCTGCCTCTCTGGTTGGTGTGGCTGTCAGACTCTGCACCTCCCATCATTCCCTTCGGAAAGAACAGTAGAGAGCTGTGGGCTGCACCGGTCAATGTCTTTACTTCTAGAGCACACATCAAACTCACTGGATATTAACATCAAAAGTGGCTGCCTAAAATGGAGTCATTCTTTTAAAAATTCCAAACTCTCATATTTATATATGATCCAAAATGACATGAAAGTAAGCTATACAATGTTATGAATAGTGTAACAAACTGCTTTTAGAATGTAAAATCAAAGGGGAAAATGAGCAGGTAGGACTGGACTGTTGTAGCCTGAGTTCCAGTCTGTTGAGGCTTTGTGACAAGAGTCAGGTCAAGAGGAGTGCTAATGTGTCTCTGCGGCTGCAGGCCAGAGCCTGGACAGACAGAGCAGGTGCATGCAGCCAGCTGGACTTTTGGAGACAAGAGGTGTGGTGGTGTTCTCCTACCATCTGGCCCTTGGCTTGGGTGCCAGTGAGTCTTCTTTCAAGACTCATGGACGGGGGGTGGGGGGGCTGAGGAGGGCATGGGCATGGCTGGGTTTAGAATGATGACTTTGACAACAAAGATCCTCCAGGTTCTGGAGGTGGCTCTGGCCATCCAGTGATGGTGGCCGACCATGTACCTGCTAAGAACGCTGCCCACTAAGCTCTTTTATTCTTGTGTCCCAAAGTTTGCTATAGGAGGCAGGCTGTGAGTAGCCAAAGGTCTAAGGGGATGCTAGAACTCAACAGAGAGCAGGTTGTTTTGGCAACAGCGCCCAAGCCCATGAGCAGACTGCTGGCTCATGGTATCCATGGGTTAGAAGGGCTCTGTGAAGTGAGAAGCCATTCCTCACCCTGGGTGCCCAGAACTCCATTTGGCAGGGCTGGGACAACCTGAAATCATGACTCTGAGCCCCAGACACTTTGGTTCACACAGTTTGGGAAGAAGGGGCCTGTTTATGACTGCTGGGGAAATCATGGGCTTGGTTCTCCTTCCTCCCCACCCCAGGAATGAGGTTGGGGTGAGGGGACTAACAGCCTCCCCCTTCTACAGCTGCAGCTCTGCCAAGGGCACACTCACAGTCAGGAGGGGCTTCCGCAGACTCAGGACTGCCCTTGGCACACAGGCTTGTGTCCCTTTCCCTGTGGACAGCACTGGCTGGCCCGAGGGTGTCATGGGATGTCTCTGCTTCCCCCAGCCTGGCCCCTTGGCTTCAAGCACACCCTGCCCAAAGACTCCTATCCTACTTATCTCGACTATCAGACACTTGGGGCTCGGGCACATTCACCCTAGCTGGGCAATCTGAGCCTGCAGCTCATGGTCCACACTCTAAGTATCCAGAACTGTCACAAAGCTGGCCTTCCCCACCCCCTAAAAAAAGCAATCTGAGGGAAACCCTACTTCCTTCTTCCCAAGCCACCTGGCTTCTAACTAGGCTGAACAATTTGGGAAGGTTGGGTTGACATCCCTCACACCTGGGGCAGAGGCACCTGATTACAGGTGGGATTTAAGTTCCCTATAGATGGGAGGGAAGGCAGCAGGCTCTCAGAAAGCAAGTCCTGTCGTGGGGTAGAGGTTAACGGAATCTGGTCTGGCCCCAGCAGTTTGGCTGCTCCCATGGCTGATCTGGTGCTAGGAGAACTGAACATGCACACCCTCCACCTGCCCAGAACCCTTTGGTCCTCACTCCTGAGGAGGGAGCTGGTTGACAGGCTTGCTGCCAAGCAGCTGCAAGCAGGCGAGACTGGACAGGGCAGGTGGTAACCCCGAGGCCTCAGGGCAGGCAGGCCGCCACCTGGTAGGCGCCCTCTGCAGCCGCAGCGGCAGCGCTGTGCTGGGCACTGTGCTCCTGGAGCAGCGCCACATCCAGGAAGCGTTCGCCACACCACACACACTTGAACTGCTGCTCACGGGCGTGAACGCCCTGGTGCTTGTTGAGATGCTCGCGCTGCTTGAAGGCTTTATCGCAGTTGGGGCACTTGTAGGGCTTCTCACCCGTGTGCACTCGCCGGTGACGCTGCAGGTCTGAAGCGTACTTGAAGCGCTTCTCACAGTCTGGGCATTTGAGCGGTTTCTCGCGGGCCGGGTCACAGCGGTGCTGCACGAACTCCGAGGAGGAGAAAAAGCGGCGCTCACACAGGGTGCAGCGCAGAGGCTTCTCTGCAGCCGCGCAGTGCGACAGCTGGTGCTTCTGCAGGGCAGACGCCCGCTTGTAGGCCTTGTTGCACACCGGGCACTTGAAGGGCCGCTCTGTGGAGGTTGGCAAGCACTTGTGCCGCAGCAGCTCAGCAGACTGGTCGAAGCCCTTCTGGCACACCGGGCACTTGAAGAGAGTCTCCAGGGTGTGCACGTGCTGGTGGTAGAGCAGGTGGCTGGGCTGCCCAAAGCCCTTCTCACACAAGCCGCACTTGAAGGGCTCCTCCGTCTTGTGTGTGCGCCGGTGCCGCATCAGCGCATACTGCTGCTTGAAGCCCATGGGGCACAGGTCACACTTGAAGGGCCGCTCGGCACTGTGAGTGCGCTCATGCTGCCGCAGGTCCGATGGCCTCTTGAAGGCCTTCTGGCACTCGCCGCAGCGAAAGGGCCGCTCACCGCTCGGGGTGCAAGGGTGCTGCAGCAATTCCGACGACTCTTTGAAGTGCAGCTCGCACACGTTGCAGCGGAACAGGTGGTGCTCGCCCGAGTGCGCGTACATGTGACGCACCAGGTGGGAGCGGTGCTTGAAGGTCTTCTCGCAGACCGCGCACTTGTAGGGCCGCTCGGAGCTGTGTGTGCGCTTGTGGTGCACCAGGTGGGAGGACTGGCTGAAGCTCTTGTCACACAACGTGCACTTGTACGGCTTCTCTCCAGTGTGGATCCGCTCGTGCCGGGAGAGCTCCGACAGGTGCTTGAAGGGTTTCTGGCAGATAGGGCAGCTGTAGGGCTTCTCAGGCTGTTCCACTGGGGCAACATTAGCGGGTGGAGGTGCCGAGGGCAGCGATGGGGCAGTAGTGGTGGCCGGTTCGGCAGCCTCCGCTGGCTTGTAGGTCTTATCACAGATGGAGCACTTCACCATGCCAGTGTGGGAGCTGTGGTGTTGGGCCAGCGAGGTGAGCAGTGAGAAGCCCATTTTGCAGACACCGCAGACAAAAGGCTTCTGCTCAGCCTGCACACACTGGTGTTCCAGCAGGTCAGTGGCCTGATGGAATATCTTGAGACACTGTGTGCACTGGAAGGAGCGGTCGTGGCCTGCCAGGCACTGGTGCTCGTGAGGGCTGGAGAGGTGTGCGAGGTCATGGCCACACACACCACATTTGGGGCCGGGCTCCCCTGCTTGCAGAGGTGCATGCTGTGGGGGCTGCAGGCCTGGGTCAGGTTGCAGCAGTATACCATAGACAGCACAGCCTAGTGGGTTTTCAGCCGTGCCCGGGGGCAGCGTGTGTTCAGCCAGGGCTGGTGGTGGTTCTGCATGGTGCTGAGGCTGTGGTGGCTGTGGCTGTTGTGGTTGCGTCTGTGGTGGCTGCTGCCAACTTTCCGACATGCTTGGGAAGATGAAACTGGGTTTGGACAGTAATGGCTTCAGTTTCCCGCTTAAGGTGAACCCAACCCTGAGAGAAGTTACTGGATCTCAGGGACGGACAAGAACCTCACACAAGGCACAGAGGAGAACTGGTCAGATAGCCCTTGTCATGAGCCAAGAAGATAGCCTACAATGCAGTGCTTACAGGGCAGGGGGCTCTTCGGGACAGGGTCCCAGCAATGCTGAGAAGGCTCTGCCTTCCCCAGTAATCGGTTCTGTAGGGAAGAGAGACACAGTGAACTTGAGGCAGGAATAAGTGGCCTTCCCCTTATCTTTTTCTATGCTGCCCACACTCACATCACAGATACAAACTACCTCAGGAGAGGGAGATGCTCGGGGCTGGAAAGCTGCTCCCCTCATCCTATCAAGGAAGTCTGGTGGCAGCTCCATTCCTCCATGCAAAGGGGAAGGGAGCCATGTCCGTGCCCATTTTCTTCAATTCCCCATCCTTGGGAAGGACATCTCAGCCTCCACAAATCCCCTCTAGTTTCCATACGGCCTTATTCAGTCAGGTGCCTCACAGGGTCTGGGGTGACCTGTCCCTAAGGCCTGCCAGCCCCCGTCACATTAACATGAGGACTCCGCTGTTTTAAAAGATCAGCGAAATCTGCCGGCAGAAGGAAACCACACCCACAAGGCACCAGTCCTAAGGCAAATGAACTGTGGAAGCGAATATTAATACAAGGGTATTAAGGACCGTCTCAAAAACCCTCTTCTTCATGGGATTGGTCCACGCTCTTCTTCACCTGCACCCCAGGTCTTTCCCAGGGCACATGCATCTCAAGTTACAACAGGATGAACGACCTTGCAGGGAGGGTTAAATGGCAGGTTCACAGACCCACCCAAGCTGAACTTCTGTACTCTAACCATCTCCCAGAGGATGCCGGAGTTAGACAGGAGAAAGCATGCCACAGGGTGCTTCTCTTCCAGGCTCGAAACATTCACAATAATCAATGCAAAATAAAGCCCACCCAACCCCAAATCTCTACTTCCCCTCTTTGAGGAAACCCAAGGCAATTCCAGAGAGGGAGGAACTTTTGGAACCAAAGGCAACCCCTTTCTAGGTTCTCAGCTCATCTGCCGCCGCTTAGATTTAAAAGTGTGTTAAGTATTCTCTGAGAGGAAGGAAGGAAGAAAGGTAGAAAATGACCTCACAAGCCAGTCCAGCTTCTAACTGTTCCGCTAAAGAAACCTAAGAATCAAGCAGAAAGTTGTCATCCTCAGCATCTTCTGGGAAAGAAGGGAATAAAGATGCTGCTGCGCCTTTATTCCAAGGAGTATGTACCAAGGAGTATGAACAAGCCGCCACAGCGTTCCTAAGGTAGAGAGGAGGGGGGATTGCTCTGAACGCTGTCCGGTCTAGCTGTATCAATCCAACTGTGTGTTATTTTTCCTGGTTTGAATGGCTGTCAATTCCAGCGGCCACCCCGACTCTCCACCTTCAGGAGCAACCCCACTGCCTACCCCAACCCTTCTCCAGAAAGGTGAAGCCAGGAACACTCTCAGATCACTCCGCAAAGGGCAGGAGAGAGTAGGGGAGGGATTGGAAAAGCAAGGAGAAGCCCCCACCTGCGCCCCACCCTAGCCCTTCTTCCTCTCCGGGTAACTGAATGAAAGCTGGTCACCTCCAATCAGGCCCAGCTGGGCTACCTCCTGTCAGCTCTGGCTCCGGATGGCCCAGTCGCTGCGTCCCGAGAAAGGGTGGCTCGGGCCGAAGAAGGCCCCAGAGCCTCAAACCGTGCCCGGGAAGCGTCTGCGCTTCCAGGCCTGGCCTGGGCCGTCCCAGAACTCAGGGGGCTCTCCCGAGGTGCGGTGGGCACTGGAGTGATCCCCCGATACAGCCCCGGGTACCCTGGCGCTCACCTGCTCCAGGCCGCCCGCGGGGTCAGGCGCGGGGCGAGCGGAGACCAGCTGCTTTCTCGGCTGCCTCTTTATTCCGGCTCCATCCGCCGCGGCGCGGCCTACGCACCCTGCCAATCCCCGGCCTCGCGTAGCAGAGGCGGACCGCTCGGGGGCGGGAGACGGGTTTGTGGCGGCCGGAACCGACGAATCGACTCGCGCACTCGGGCTAGCGGGACCCGGGCAGCGGACGGACGAGCGAGCGGACAGACCGACGGTCTTGCAGAGACCGGCGGACGGGCGGGCGGCGCGAGGCCGGGGAAGCGGGGTCGGGGG